GACCGGCTCTACTAGCTGAGAGGTATCTGTAATGCTTCCCCCATCTACCAGAGGTATTAGAGACTGCTGTTGCGCGGGAAACGTCCGTAAATTTGGCTCCGTGACCTCCTTTGGAGATATGAGGTTCTTTTACGTGCCGTAAAGCTACGACACGGGACTCACGGCTTAAAGTCCCTCCCGGAGGACTTGTTCCCTGAATTTTTCCGCCCTTAAAAATTCGACGACCTCCGCCGGGTATTTGAACCCGCGTACTACGAGTCATGAGGTGGGAACGTTACCTCTAGACTACGGAGGCCGCTTGACGCGTGCTTAACCTTCTTTAGACTGAACAAACATCATTTTATATTTGCTCTTAGCCAAAAATGTATCCGTGACAAAGCTTCATCTCCAGTTCGAGGGATTTTCTCTTTATGTTAACTGAGACGCCACTAATACATCTGTAAATATAAAGAAAAGACTAATATACGCTCTGACTAATTGTATCGTTGTACAGCTATAAGTTAAATGCAGAGGAGCAATCAGCATCCCGCAACTGAGGCAGATGCTGAATATAGTTGCAATGGAAACTAAAACAAACTGCAAGAGACGTGAAACGACTAACGCTGTATCCATGTAACTAGGACGGAAATCTGTCGTCGGAATTCATGTCCCCCAGCTTTGAAATATTTCACAGTGTGTGCCCAATATTTGTCTTGTCGGATCACAGACCCTTTATAAAATGGTTTAGGGTTGGGGTATTGTTGGTAGGGAGCAGGTTTTTTAGGTTTCTCGATCCACAAGCAAAGCTAGTCCTGCCTCTGCAATGATGGGTTATACACTCATCCAGGCTGCCGCATCTTGTGATCTCAGAACCAGCTCTGGCCATGCAGTGCACAGCTAGGATGAGGTTTGCTGTTTGTTATTGTTTCGTCAACATACCTCTGTGTGGAAGCCACATTGCTGCACACTCCGTTCTTAATCCCCTAAGGAACGACTATATTTCTATACTTCTACATGTCCAAGGCGTGAATCTATTTCTCCTCGAGGTGTTCATAGCCTCGAAATTAAGAGGAGACTGAACTCGGGTAATGCTTGCTACCATTCAGTTCAGAAACTTTTGTCTTCTCGTCTGCTGTCCAAAAACACAAAAATCGAAATATATAAGACTATAATTTTGCCCGTGGCTCTGTATGTTTGTGCAACTTGGTCTCTGACAATAAGGGAGGAACATAGACTGAGGGTGTTTGAGAAGAGGGTGTTGAGGATAATATCTGACCCGAGGAGAGATGAAGTGACAGGAGGCTTGAGAAAACTACATAATGAGGAGCTTCACAACTTGTAATCTTTGCTCCAAGTACTCGTACGAATGAATAATTAGAATGATTAGAAGTCAATGAGGATGAGGTGGGCAGGGCATATAGCACGAATGGGGGAGAAGAGGAATGCATATAGGATATTGTGGGAAAGCCGGAAGGAAGGAAAGCACTGGGAAGACCAAGATGTAGGTGGGTGGACAATATTAAAATGGACATTAGAGAGATAAGACGGGATGATATGGATTGGATTGATCTGGCTCAGGATAGGGACCAGTTGAGGGCTCTTGTGAACACGGCAATTAACCTTCGGGTTCCATAAAATGCCAGGAAGTTCTTGAGTAGCTGCACAATTGGCAGCTTCTCAAGAAAGGCTCAGCTCCATGAGTAAGTGAGGGTATTCATAGCCGTACCTTATTAAAACAGTGTGGCAACTACACACACGCCCTGTTTAACATATCTCTCCATATTGCCCACAGCCATTAATTACGGATTCTGCATGACTGTAAATAAAAGGATCATTTCTCTATAAAGCAGTGAAGCATTCGTTTTTGTAATTGAGTCGCAGCGTGCCTTCTGTGAGATAGACACGTTTTCACGCGTTCGCAACGACAATTTTTTAAAAACAAGCCTATTAATTTTATCATGTCTACCTGCCTGCTTCTCCATCGATCCGCCTCTTCAATTGTAGGTCTACCAACTCTAAAACCGCTGAACAGATTTCATGAAGATTTGAGGCTTTCACGGCGGTGACTATGAAGAAAGCAGTCTTCTGGGATTTTGCACCGTGTATATGTGGTGTTAACCGACGTTTCGGAGGAACGTATCGCCTCCATCTGCTTTTACCGGTTCTCACGGTCTCTTCGCTTGCGGATTTCTTATATTTTTCCTTCTACCCTGAAGATGGAGGCGATACGTTCCTCCGAAACGTCAGTTAACACCACATATACACGGTGCCAAATCCCAGAAGACTGCTTTCTTCAGATTTCAGGAAATCCTATACCAGACTGCAAGATGTCACATCCCAGAAGCCAGTACTTTGAACAGTCACCGCGCGAAAACCTGAAATCTCACATATTCGTGTTGGGAGTGCTACTGAATCATGTCGGTACATTCCAATTCGAGAGAACTAAACAAACTGGGAGAATATAAGCCAGAATTATTATACGTTGCGCATATTTCGTAACGTATTATAAATTATGTAGACAACCTCATGCTTCAAAGGATTAATCAGAATTGTGATGATTTACATACGCTTATTTTTCTGATTTTGTTACTTGGTTTATTTATCGACAATATGTCAATGCAGCAATGTGTCACGGCGTTGAGTGAGAAATGACCACTTGATTACATGAAGGATTGGTTCCAGGACACTTCTTCCACGTTTTTTGTCCCATTAATAATTTGTTCCGCGTTTCTTCGTCCACAGACACTTCGTCCACCTTTTTACGCGCACGATTATAGGTCCATTTTACGTCCAGATGTAATGTATGGGAACAGAAGGATCATGGAAGAAAGTACCGTGACATATTCTAAGTTATTATTCAGCCATCTGACTGGAGGAACTAAGCAATATCTCGTGCAGAATACTTGACCATCTCGAGGAAATAGAAATTGGCGAAGCCCTGATTATTAAGCAGCAGGGCCAAGTAGCCTATAGTATCACGACGCCCATTACACACCTACTGACATGTTTTTCTAATGCTATATTTTACACATTCATAGTTAAGCTCGAAAACTTTATGGACTTTCATTAAAAAATACCGAAAAAGAACTGTAGGCTTCATAGGAAGGACAGGATAAAATAATGCCTTGGGTAATACGCTTTCATAACAGCCCTGGCACAAGGTACAAGGCAACTTGCAAAAAGATATTTCAGAATACTCACATTTTGTTCAACTTTCATTTTAAGGGAGGAATTTTATTTCCTGTAACGCAAGGAAGGAACATTAGTCACTAAATCATTCATGAACTCGTACGCACGCAGCACGCTGTCAAGCAGCCGTAACCTAGCGCACTGAAGTTCGCTTACATCCTGTGTTGCAGATTTTGTTGCAGCAATTCTTACACCACATCCTGTCACCCGTGAAGATGATGCCCTTCATCTCGGACCCAGGCTTTACGCACCGGGAACCGTGAGTGTGTCTTAGGCCATTCACAGAGCGAAAGTTGTACGGAGGTCTACTTCATTTTCGAGAGCTGTGCGAACATAAGTCATTCCCTTTTCAATTAGGGACATCGATATTGCACACAATGACGGGCAGATACTCCGAAATAAGCCATCCAGTACACAGCACTTCTACGTTCGTTGCCCCCAATATTGCCAATACAAGAGCTAAAGGTTAATGTCTACTGGAATGTGACGCCGATTTGTTTTGTACATGGATACCAAACTGAACGGCGTCACATCCAAAATACAGTAATACTCATGGTCACCTCCGTCAGTATCTCAAATTCGACACGTGGGCTGTGAGAATTGAAAAGTGGAACAAGAATAAAGCCATTCTTCCTATTTCTATCTGAAATATCTATTAAAAATATGCATCCTTTAATAATATTAACTATCAGGACAATAACTTGTTAAAATATCAAGCGAATATGATAGTCATAGGGTCTACGATTAACCAGACTAATGCAACAAATTTTTAAAACTTTAAATATATGTGATGAATGGAAAACAGTTTTACTCCAAGCTTTTTTTAAGGAGACGATCTCCAGAAAACAAGAAAGACGCAGGGCGTCGAAAGAGCCATGTGTATGAGGGACGAGATATGTAAATATATGGCGAACCAAATAATAAAAACTTGGTATATAACAAATACATACATTGCGTTTGGAATCACCCCAACATTACGTACTCGTGGTCATCATTAATGTCGCGTTCGGCTGGAATTAGATTGCAGCACTATTCTCTTAAGAAGCAATACTTACCGCCTGATGTTTACCCATACAGATCTAATTTGCTTGGAATAAGAGCAGCTTCGTCGAGTTGGCATGGAAATGGTCATGTATGATATGTGAGGAATGTCTGTTTCCTTAATGACTCTGCATCTCTTTCTGTTTGTTTATACTGAGATTAACTTATCTTACAAGACAATATGCAATGGCAGAAGTTGCTTATGGGCACCTAGTGAGCTACCAAAACTTCTTTTCCGTTTTTCTGCAAGCTGTTAAGCAAAACCCAAGTCCTTCTTGTTATAAAGACGGGTCTTATGCGTCCTTCACGTGACTATTACGCACATGTATTACGTAAAATAACAACAAACTGTGTATGACTGTTACGTTAGGGCCTTGCCATAACTCAAGCAGTTAGTCGCTGGCTTCCCACCGCGGCGGCCCGCGTTCGATCCCGGGTCTGGTCAAGTGGGATTTGTGGTGGACAAAGTGGCGATGGGGCACAGTTTCTCCGAGTACTTCGGTTTCCCCTGCCAATCTTGATTCCACCAATTGCTCCACAATCACCCTCGCCTATCATCTGGGGCTGATACAATAGACCAGAAGTGGCAGCAGTACAAGGGACTTAGTTCCACCCCACTAGCAATAAAAAAAATGCCCGTTACGTTAACAGTACAGTAAACATAGAAGTATTGCTTTAGAAATGATATGTTAGTATATGGCGCCCTCGACTTCCATCAGACCACCAGATAAGCATCCCAATTGCAAGCAGTATGCCTAAAGCGAGTTTCCATGTGCAACTTGTCAACTTACCCAGTCTGAGAACTGGAGCTTGTCCAGATCCGTCGACGCCGCCTCCGCCTTGGCTCGCAACTCTTGGGTCCCCTGAGAAACCTTCTCAAGAAAGGACGACAGCTCGAGCGCCTCGGCGACCAGCGCCCGGCATACGGCTCGGTAATGTGCGTCAGCCTGCTGTGGGGACGGAGCGCCAAGGTGATTACAGCATCGCTGGGGGACAAAATAAATTACAGGTAACATCCGCAAATACTTTCTGGGAGGCAATTATCGTGTCAAATGCGTTATGCGTTGTGTATGTAAAGTTATACTCGTTGAGTCTTGTCTAATTCACTAACTCTATATTTTACCAAAGAAATATAAAAAAATGTCAGCAAATATAAAATAGAAAGCGTCAACTGATTATCATGAAATGATTTCGTGAACAGTTAACGTAACGTTAATTGTGAAAAAAAAAGTGAGCGTACGGGCCTGTAAATATATTTAGGACCATAAGCTGGCCCTATTTAAAGACATTCGCCGCAATAAATTGTAGGAATACAATATTATCCATGAAATAATGAAAGACGTAAATATTTCTTTATTGTAACTATGACATCAGACCGTAGACAAACAGCTATACCGTTTTGGACGCAGTATGCGGTCTCCCATCAGTCACTGCGTTTGCCCTCACATAGTAAGGACACGTGTCTCGCGGATACTTGAAATCATTATGCAATTTAATTTTAATTTAGGGCATGAAATTGTATTTACCAGACATTAACCCAATCATGCTACGAAGAGACTTCGCTGGTTATTAATCAGTCCTAAATATATCTGTCATTGCGATGGGCTTATCCCCATCCAGGGAATCATACCGACTGTGTCTAGATCAAGAAACTGAAAAAGTGCCAAAGATTCAACAAAGGATGTATGGATAGATAGATAGATAGATAGATAGATAGATAGATAGATAGATAGATAGATAGATAGATATCCAAGAGATAGAAGAACCACAAAATTTCAATCAGACTGACCCAGAAGTTATCAAATTTTGTAGTACCACTACCCCCGCATGTAGCACATAAATTTACTCGAGTTCTCCCCAGCCTACATCTCTAACGGTTAGAGAATAGTTCAGTTCTGTTCTTTTGCCAGGTCCCATCAGAATGAACGGTGATAGCAGCAACCTAGGTTTTCACATCCCAGTGACATCTACAAGAACATTTCATTGCTTACTGTAAGTTGTTAAATGTTTTCCCAAATGTTTCACCGACTGCAGCTGCGTTTTCTGCAGGCATCTATAGTAAATCTGACTTCCGTACTTGCCAAAGTGTGCGTGGATACAACTCTATTTCAAACAATTCTTAAGAACAAGAAAGTCCCGATCCCCTAAGAAGGGTGAGAACACATAGGCTAGACGGTAACTGGGCCACTGGGGAACCGCTTAGCTCCAGAATAAGTTCTAGTGTTACCACTTACTTACATAACTTATGGAGTTGAGCCATTCTTGAGGAGAAGCCAAATCTGTATTTACTCAAGAATTTCCCAGCGTTTTATGGAACCCGGGGGTTCATTACCGTGTTCACAAGAGCAATCCACTGGTCTCTATCCTGAACCAGATCAATCCAAACCATACCATCCCATGCTATATCTCTAAGATCCATTTTAATACTGTCCAACCACCTACGCCTTGGTCTTTCCAGTGGTCTCCTTCCTTCTGGCATTCTCACCAATATCCTATACGTATTCCGCTCCTCCCTCATTCGTGCGCACCTCATCCTCCTTGACTTCATCATTCTAATTATACTTGGAGAAGAGTACAAGTTATGAAGCTCCTCCCTGTATTACCACTACACAACCCTGAACAAATACTTGTGAAATAAATATAAATTCATAAAGCAGAGTCTTTTTGAGAAGCTAACAATTCCTCCACTTATGGAACCCGAAGGTTCATTACAGTGTTCACGACAGCCTGCCACTGAACCCTACACTCAGCAACAGTCCATACCTTCACACCCTGTTATAGGCTATTTAAAAACACACATTTCATTTATGATATTTAGTATTTAGTAGACAAAGGTCTGAGATCAATAGCAAATTACTATCATAATGTAGCTTTAAAATACCATTGTTACGTAAGAAAAGAAATCATTTGATATGATTCCTGAAAGATCCAGGAACCTGTCACCACATCTGCTCCACGATCGCCGCTCATATTCCAAAGAAAACGCCGATCTAGATCCAGCTAGTACAAATTCCGCTCCTGAGAAGACAATTTCCCACAGACTCATACTGGGGTAACACATGGTTGGATTTGTTCAGCCAGTAAACCCCGGGGTAGGGCTCAAATCCTTTCATCCCATTTTCTAGCGATGGTGACAAAAGTAAGAGGAAAAAAGTGGAATATTAGCTGTACGTTGATTGGGAAAGAAATATGTTCCGCACGTGATCAAACTTAACGTCACCGGGGAAACTCTTGAAAACACTGATCGAGTTTTCCTCTACATCATCATGTGCCTCTCTTAGCAGCTGCAGAGTTTAATGTTTTCACTCCATTACACAAAGCTGGCAGCACGCTATCGCAAATAAACTCTTCTGCGCAGTTAATTACAGATCTCGCGACGTGTCACTGTCCTTCCCGCATTTCACTGCGTTTCAGCAACTCCAAGTGTAAACACATGCTCTCATGTTATTTATGGCAACCTCTAGCCTGCGCAGGTAAGGGAAGATTGAGATGTGCGAAAGTGGAAGGCTAGGTTGGCTGGGGCGCTTCGCTCTCCGAATGACTTAAGAAAACTGACTCATATCCATTGGGTGGTCAGCAGTCCTGCTTCATTCTAATGGAAGCCTGTGTACCGACGTGAGCCGAGCGATACCGCAACTTGTCTGCATTTTTCGCAGTTCTTCTCAGTCCCTCTAAGCAAATCTTCGGACAGACTTTTAGAAATACAAGCTACTATCATTTCCTTCCACATTCTTTCTAATTTAGCCAACAACAGATACTAATATTAAAAAAAAAAAACTGGCGTTTTATTTTAATTTTTATATGCTGATTCCATATCTGGTAATAATTTTGCATCCCGTCACGTTTTTGTGTACAGAATTTGAGGCGCAAACAGAGTGTCTTTACATTTTTTTCAATTTGCTCTTAGTATTCTTATATTTTTTATTAAAAGTAACGTAAAATGTCTTATCAGTGAATGCACGTTTATTCTCGTTTAAATAAGGTCAATATTTAAAATGTCTCGTTAGTTGTGCCCACGTTCGTAATTCTCGTACGAGAAAGGAAATAACGGAAAACAAGAAGTGCTACTCACAATTTTATGATATTTTTGTAACGAGTGCATATTTTTAATGATAAAAGCATCAGTTCGTACGTCAGAAAAACGTGAAAGCTTATGGTGCCTTGTTAATTTACATTCGACCTATGCAGCCTATAGTATATAGTTTAAAAGTTTGTTCAATTAAATTAATCATGAACTCAGACTCACAGATACAATACATTTCGATTTAATGATCGAATCCTTCTTGTTATATTTAACTGCATTTGAAAACGACCATGGATTTGCAATAAAAATACAATTTTATAACCCAAAAATTGGCATTTATGTAAACCCACTCTAAAAACAACACATGCTTGCCGTAGGAAGTTATTACTTGAAGGAGAGATAAAAACAGGTCGCATCATGTTCAGACACAAGATGTGGCTTCCTGCTGCAGTAACTGTCAGTAGGGCACACTTGGAACGCGGAATTACGTCGAGCATTAAGGAAGATTAGTGAAGATTATCCTCTTGATTCACAGACGGAAAATGATGTCAGTATGGCGACAGCTTGCAGCAGTAAGTCAGTAAATGCAATATGCACCTCTGACCCGAAAGGCGACTAGACTTGGCTGTTTCAGTCTGACCTGTAGGAGGTCTAGAGACTTGTCTTTTCTATTCTTGGAGATTTACGTTTTAATTAAAAGACAGCAAGAAATCCGAATACATCAGACATTCCTTTACCTGGCATTTTCATCATACAGTATACAAAATACTGCAATGAAAGTTCATAGTTTAAAATAAATCGTCGTTTCAATAAGGAACATAAAAAGGCAAGTCAAGACATCGTGGGGCATTCTTGAACACTGATACAGAATGTTTAAAGGGCTGCAACAGACTTCTGGTTATACTACCATGGTATAGTTCGTAGTTTCAGTAGTAGCAAAGTACAAGGCATGATATGGCTATCTGTAAAGTTACAAGAACAATTCACGCAATATAATTACTAGAAGTTTTTACAGTACAGTACAGTGCGTACAGTTGGTAAACAAATACCATATCCTTTTTCATACTACGTCACTTTTCCGGGTTTAATTCTAAGATATCTTCTAAATAACACGCGAACTTAAATACATGTCATCATCATTGGCAAACCAGCACGTTTTGAGCCATAGCCTTCCTTTGATGATGCTGCCAGATTTCATCCGGTTTTCACTTCCTTGGATTTTGCAACAATATTTTTTTTTTTACAGGGTAAGGTCGTCAGCCTTGTGTCAAACCCCAAACCTGGAGGACCAGGTCCCTGTATTCATGTACCCCAGTGACAGGGTGGCCCAGTTATACTGCCAAGCACCGGGCTCCATTTTAATTGCGGTCACTTTAGTTTGCCTGGAATTTGCCACTTCCTAATTCAATAACCCCGTACACAGGTCCAATCCATACGTTTTTCACTCCTGTAAATTACTTCCTGTACGATCTATTCGTATCCACTTCCCAGTCAGCATCACCGCCTGAAACTTAAGAACTCACAATATAGGCATAGTCTCTTTGGAAAATCTAATGGTCCCTTCTCTGGTTACGAAATCTCTTCCTTTCTACGGGACCCTAGGTTTAATTACCGCATTCAAAATAGCATGCTTCTGGCAGTTATCTTGAGCCAGACTAAACCACACCAAACCCGTATTATCATAATCCTTAACATCCATTTTAATATTATTTTACCTTCTACGCCTACGTTTTCTAAGTGGTCTCTTACCTTCGAATTATCTATGAACGCCGGTCACGGCAGCCGAGCGATCTAAGACATATACTGTTTTCGCTCGCTCGGAAGCCGGGATCGTGGGTTCGAATCCAACTCAGGGCATAGATGTTCGGTATGTGTATGTGTTTGTTCTGTGTTTGTGTTGTCAAGTGTTCAGGTAGAGGTCTTGCGACGAGCTGATCACACGCCCAAGGAGTCCTACCGTCTGTAAAATGATCATGAAACTGAAAAATCAGAATCCAGGCTTAAGGCGGCTGTAAAGCCTGTGAAAGTCTATGAGCCTTTGTCACCTCCCCAAGCATGCTATATTGCCTGTCACGTATATTCTCCTCGACTTGCTCATCCTAATAATATTCAATGATAAATATAAATTACAAACATCCTCATTATGCAGTTTATTCAGCATCGTCTTATTTCCTCCTCCTTAGGTCCCAATATTCTTCTGAACATCCTGTATTCAAACACCCTCTATCTACCTAATGGCAAAATTTTATTTGATTTTCCGTTCCGCTCTTTTGCCGTCTATATGCAACGTCGGTTAAGATTCTCTTCTCGGTCTCTCTTTTTGGTCGCTACATGTTTCGGCCTAACTGGCCGTCATGAGGTGTACAGGTTGTGATGAAGGACCCTGCTGCTCATTGAAATGCTGTTCTGCTTTTCTTATGCTTCGGATTCTAGGTTATGTAGGTTAATCAGTTGTTTCATTTGGGTGTACTTTGCAGACTCTTAATGGGCTTTCAAAGTATATCGTGGAACTTATCAACTGACTGCTACCTTGGAGTCTGAGGCTCAGATCTACATAGCGAGCTCCTTTGAAGAGGCAAAGAGGATGCATTCTCCTTACGGCAACTCAGCTGTCCAGCGACACACATCGCGCACAATTACACACTGAATTGTGATTATTTACATTCTAGCTTCCAATGTTCACATACACACACAAAACTCCGTGGTCTTAGTCCGCAGGAGAACTACACCGACCGAGCGACCGCCGCTTGTCGGCGAAGATATTGCCAACTTTTGCGGATAGAGGGTGTCGCGTGGTCAGTGCAACGGATTCCCACGGCCGTTAATTTCGGTTTCCTAGACCGGAGCCACTACGTTCCCATTCAATTATGCTCACGAGGCTGAGTGGACTCCGTTCCAGACCACTATTTCTCAGAAAATCTGCCAGCGCCGAGAAGCGAACCCGGACCTCTGGATCTGTAGCCAGGAATTCTGACCACTACACCATAGAGGCGGTCCCTTTCAATGTCCTAAAAAAATACAACACTGGAAAGATGGACATCAAACACACACAAACTGTGCCAGGGCATCGTAAGAAATTCGCTGTTGTTTGTTCATGGCTTCTTATAACTGTTAAAAGCTTAACTGGTTTCTCATGTTCGATTTTCGATGACCATCTTTCCATCTTGCGACATCCGAGGATGTAGATATTTTGTGGAGTCATTACAAGAAGCATTCCAGCGAGGAAGTTGTAGGCCTACAGCTTTCTCTCTGTATCAGTTGCATTCGGAGTTCCCTATGTAGCTGCCTGCATCTATTCTAACCTGATGTTTTTACCAGATGTTATTGTAAAAAGAGAAGACAATTACGGCGCTCATAAACATGATACTCACGTCGATGACTTTCGACAGCGTGACGTGGTGAGGAGAACTGCTGGACTCGTCATCTCCTTCGCCTGAGTCCCGCTCGATGCCTTCATCGTCGGTCTCCTGCAGTCTTTCCGGGACGTTATCTGCAACAAGGCACAGCATCTGTAAAGCGATCTTCGGATTCCAAAATTGGAGCAGCACTAATTTTCCTCTGTCCCTTCCTAACACAAAATGTGAAGTGGTATTGTCTCCCCCAAGTCATTAATTTCGCTTGTGTAAGAGACAATGAGCCGATCACAGTGGCCGCGCGGTCTAAGGCATGAACTGCCTTCGCTAGCTCGAACGCTGGGATCGCGAGTTCGAATCCCACCTGAGGCATGGATGTTTGTGTGCGTTCATTGTGTCTGTGATGTCCTGCGTGCAGGTAGCGGTCTTGCGACGGGCTGATCCCCTGTCCAAGGAGTTCTAACGATTGTGTGAAAAATCAAGAAACTGAAAAAGCGGTCAAGGCACAACAGATGGCTGTAGGGCCATAGATGGATAGACAGACAGAGAGATGGATGGATAGATATATAAAAGAGACAATGATTTTGTTTCACTATTCCCTAATAGGTATACATTGATAAATAGTTTTAATTGCCTGATTCCAATTTCTAACGCAAACTGTATCGTGATTTTAAGTGATTTCCTTAAATACTTAATTTCAACGTTGGAGGAACAGTTACTGCATCCTATAAGTACCTAAAATTAATTTTGAAATGACATTATTTTCTCCCAACACTTCATAATATAAATTATGCAAATCGAATTAATTTCTGCTTCAAATTAAAATTTAAATCGTGCAATCGTAAATTGGCAGTGGTTGTCCCCCCAACCAGTTCCTAACACAAATTGTGAAATGGTATTACTTGCCCCCTACCAATTCCTAATATAAACTGGCTCCCTTTAATTCGTAACATAAAGTGTGAAGAAGCAGAAATCACTACCTTTCGATCCCCAATTTAACTGTAAAATGGCACTAACTGTCCCCTTCCTGTTCGAAATATCTATTGTCAAGTGATCTGATCATTTGCTTCTGAAGAGGCACTTCTTAACTTTGTATCAAATAGTAACAATGACCCTAAGCGTTTCTAAAACCTTGTATTTAAATATGAGCACGAGAATACGAATGTTAACACTGCTGATTCTCTGTGGATGAACATGCTCAAAAAAGGTAATGGGCCCCCAAAACATTACAATGAATATTTATTGATGCTTTCTTCGAACCGCGGCGGCCCGCATTCGGTCTCGTGTTAGGTCATGAGGGTTTTGTATTGGACGAAGTGACACTGAGATATATTTTCTCCGAGTACTTCTTTATCCCCTCGCAGTTCTTATTCCAACAAATTGCTCCATGTTCATCTATCGCCCAAGGCTGGTACAATAGGTCAGTTTCTGGCTCATTTACTAAGTGGACTCAGCCTCACCGCACCCCACAAAATTAAAGAAATAGTTATGCTTTAACCAAAGTGATTCTGTTATTAAAACAAATATTTGAGTCCATTTTCTAGCGGCAATTATAATGACGTATTCAACTATTTTTTTCCTTGGCACTACAGCCCCAGTGGGCCTAGGCCTACCTCCATGAACTTCTCCGTTCACTTCGGTTTTTCTAGATCTTACACATTCGGTAGAACTCCTTGGGCGGGTGATCAGCTCGTCGCAAGGCCTCTACCTGTACACAAACACAGAAAAACGCACACACACACATTCAACTATATTTACATGCCAGAAACATACACATCTTAGAAATTCGCTACGTATTTCTTCACAATTCTGAATTGTGCACAAGACATTAAGTCAATATCTTAGTACTTTTGTATCTCTTCGGTAGTGGAAGCGCATCGAGCGATATAGCGGAAGTAATATCAGAACTTTCTGCAGCACACTTCACGGATGCTGAAAGTCCATTGAGGACAGTTCTCGGGATCAGAACATAAAGGATCGTTTCAGTGATGGGTTCGAAAAACTCATCAGGTGGCCTGTCATTTGGTTTGAAATAGAGCAGCACCTCAGGACTGCATGCCGATCCATAGTGGATAAGAATGTACGCTCACCTCGCTTCATGGAGCATATGTATTCTTACTTGAGATTCTGATAATCGCTCTTATGGTCAAGTAACTGCTCGCCTTTTATGGAACCGGAAGGTTCGTTGCTGTGTTCACGTGAGTCGGCCATTTGACTCTACCAGCAACCACAATTCAGCGAACATTTCATATCCCTTATCTTTATGATGTATTTCAACAGGATCCTCCCATGTACTCCTAGTCTCCCACGCTGTTTCCTCCCTTCAGGTTTTACGACTACAATTATGTATGCATTTCTTATCAACATTCGTGCCACATGTCTTGCCAATCTTATGCGCCTTGTTTTTATAACAACAATAATAATTGGTAGAATACAAATTATTAAATTAAGCATTATTGTATTTTCTCCTCCCGTTACAACAAATCGCTTTAGGCCGATTATTCACTACAACCTACATTTAAACGCTCTAAATCCATGTTCGCCGACCACAGTGGTAGTGCGGTCTTAGGCATGAACGCTCTTCGCTCGCTCGAACGCTGGGATCGTGGGTTCGAATCCAATTCCAGGTATGGATGTCTGTGTGCGTTTATGCCGTGTGTAGGTAGCGGCCTTAAGATGGGCTGATCTCCCGGCCAAGGAGTCCTACCAACTGTGTGTAAATTAAGAAACTGAAAAGGGGGCCAAGGTCCACAAGGGCTGTAGAGCCATAGATGAATGAATGAAATCTGTGATCTTCGCTCAGAGTGACAGACCTATTTTCAACCCCATACAAAACAACATGTAACATTTGTGATTTGTATTTTTAATCTTAATTTTTCTTAAATCGGTGCTGAAAAGGTGAAAGATTCTGAAGCAAACGGTAATCAACATAAGCCGATTTTAGAAATGTAATATACCACAGTTTTACATACAAACTAAGTATAAATTAAGTCTTTTTGCGTTTATCGCAACTCTATCATGAATTTTAACAGCACAGATGACATGGGGTCACGGTCGGAAAGACTGACGTTTCAGAGTAATAGCTGAAAGTAAGAAATGTCAGGGTGTGTCGGATATATTCTCTCCCGCAGGAAGATTCCCATGTGACAAACAGGCTAAAAAGTTTCCCACTCCAACTTAAGCTTCTTTTTCTTTATGTTTATTCAACTTCTCTTTTCGGGTCCTTCACAGATTACATCTTCTACAAGCCTATTTATGAAAGAGGTGCTTTAGAAACATTCGTGAATTCATTATCCTAGTTTGCAAAGGAGAACACAGCAGATCTAGCTGATAGCTCTGCTTGTGGCTCTATGCTGCATAGTGGTCAGGCCAATTTATCACGCTTACAGTGGTCTGTTGTACGTAGAGTGCCGCTGAAGAGATTCTTAAGACCCTATACAAGTGCAGATATACTCCTTTCCAGATAGATAACGACAGAAATCCCACAACTAAATGCGAATTCATAGTTAGAGATATGCCTGTGATGTATGTTCTCTGGCTTGGGCACTGTGGATGAAGGATGTACAGCAGTACAGTTAAACATAGCAAAGATGTAGCTATGCTTATCCTCGGCACTAGAGGTGAGTTGCCGGCTTCATCCTACGTATGCTTATCCTCGGCACTAGAGGTGAGGTTCCCGCTTCATCCTACGTATGCTTATCCTCGGCACTAGAGGTGAGTTGCCGGCTTCATCCTACGTATGCTTATCCTCGGCACTAGAGGTGAGTTGCCGGCTTCATCGTAGGTATGCTTATCCTCGGCACTAGAGCTGAGGTTCCCGCTTCATCCTAGGGTTGCTTATCCTCGGCACTAGAGGTGAGTAGCCGGCTTCATCCTAGGTATGCTTATCCTCGGCACTAGAAGTGTTTCCCGCTTCATCCTAGGTATGCTTATCCGCGGCATTAGGGGTGAGTTGCCGGTTTCATAGTCTTTCATTTGTGTGTTAACTTGTTTTGTTTCTTATAGCGAATACGACATCTTCCTTAATATCGTTCTTTTTTCGTCGCATCGAATCTGGTATATATGACGGTTTCTAGCTTATCTTCCTTATTTTGAAAAATGAAATTAAGCTTCTGAGATCACCATGCTGTCTGTATGAGACTGTATATCCCCTTCTTTAAATTTGTGAATGCTTGAGCCTATCGTTATGAAACGTGGTACATATATCATGGCACCTGAGCCGATCTCAACGTTGTACCTCTAAATCCCTTCCATCATTCTGTGCGTCTGTATGTATTCCCTCTACCGCTGCAAGGCAACGGCTCGGCAAACATGTTCCCGCAGCAACGAATACACACGTAACAATAGAAGCATTGTTGAAAGCGTCGTTTTCAATGCGATCTGGTCGTATCAAAGGGAAGTAGGAGATCAGTTCTTCATAGAACTTCATGTTTTCAAACATTATTTCAGCAGATTATATGCTCCTTTTGCCGGTCACGGTAGCCGAGCGGTCTAAGGCATGCACTGTCTTCGTTCACTCGAAAGCCGGGATCGTGGGTTCGAATCCCACTCAGGGCATGGATGTTTGGTGTGTGTACGCGTTTATTCTGTGTCTGTGTTGTCCTGTGTTTAAGTAGAGGCCTTGCGACGAGCTGATCACCCGCCCAGGGAGTCCTACCGTCTGTAAAAATGATCAAACTGAGCAATCAGCCCTATGCTCCAAAGTAGTAGCGAAGAGGAAGAAAAAAAAAACTCCTTTCTTCTCTCTTCGTTAGGATCCACGTTTCCCTTCAACAAAACAGAGTACGAACTGCCAATACTTCTTAAGGTCTACTAGTACCCCTGTGACATACAACGCTCGCCTACTCACAAGCGTCACTATCTATAAACGCAGGGGATGAAAGCAGAACCTAAATTCTGTTTGCCTGACGCAATGCGACTGCTTGGTAACCAAGGAGGTAAATATATACAGCATGGTAGAGCTACGGCAGAGGGCAGAAGTGGAAGTGAAAGTTAGGATGCCGCATACTCCATGCCACGCACTGCGTATCAATGGCAGAGCTGTGATACCGACAACTACAGGTATCGAAACATCTGCAAAACAGTATCTTGTATCCGTATCTATAAACTGTCAGCATCCCGAACTGCATTATGCCTG